AAATATTAAAAGATAATAGCAAAATAAAATATCATTGTCTACATCCAAATATCCACTAGAAGGTAAATACCAAGCAGAAAAATATTTAAAGAGTAGTAACAGGCAATTCACAAAATAGTAAAGTTAAAAAAGATAAGAAACAAACAGGAATTAATTTGTACTGTTTTTTAAATAACACTAAGCCAAAGACATCAGAAACGTTTGAGTCTTGGTATTAGAAAACAATTTACAAAGACAGCAAAAAACAAATATATTGCACATTTAGAAAAATTTGAAATGAAGAGATACATTTAAACACAACGTTAGCAAAGCATTTACTGTAATATAATTATTTTATTCTTAGAAATGGCCTTTAAAACACTTAATCCAGTTGCCTCATTGTATAATTGAAGAATTGGGAGCCTCTAACCATATAGTGGGTGTCATCTCAGCCCATCCTGATGGGGCCATATGTCCCCAGTATGAATGGGGGAGACTTATTTTGTAGCATCACGCGACTTTTTTCTTCCTAGATAACAAAGCAATTGTTGTTAACCCTAGTTCCTAAGTTAATTAGCTTTAGTTCTTTTGAGTTGGAAACAGATGCAGAGACTTGAGAGGGTTCACCCAAGGTCACAACAGAGGGACATGAAAGTACTAGGATTTGAGCCTGGTGTGTTTGACCTTGAAAAAGCAGTTTTAAATATTTGCTTTTTTTTTTATTTACACACAGAAAAATGCACTCACTCTCAGATACAGTTCTGTGAGTTTTGACAAATGCCTGAAGCGATGAAGTACTATTGCAGTTAAGATGCAGAGCGGTTCTAGTTCCCCAAAGTGTTCCCTCATGCTGGCACCTAAGTTGTCAACCTCTCCCACACCTCCAATTGCAGGGAATCACTCATGTGTTCTTTGACCATGAAGTTTTACCTTTTACAGAATGTTTTATTCATGGAATCATATAATATGTAGCCTTTTGAATCCGGCTTCCCTTGCTTAACTTTCTATATTTGAAAACCATTGATGATGCATATATAGCTTGTTCTTTGTTATTGGTGAGTAGTAGTCTGACTCATAGACATACCACAGTTTGTTTATCTCTTCATCTGCTGAAGAAAGTTCATCCAGGCTTGGCAATTACTATAGAGCTGCTGCAAGCATTCCCCCACAGCCGTAGGATTCCTAGCTCATATGCCAAATGTATGCTAACTTTATAAGAAACTGTCAAACTGTTTTCCAAGTGGTTGATACTGTGTACTCCCAGTTGCTATGTGTAAGTCTCCATTGTTCTGCATCTTCACCAGCTGGTGTAATTGTCAGTGGTTTCTAATGCTTTTATTTTAGCTTTTCTAATAGGGGTATAGGAATATCTCATTTTAGTTTTTAATTTGATTTTCCCTATTGACCTAGGATGTGTTCCATCATTTCAAGTGCTTATTTGCCATTTGTATATCTTGAATGGTTAAGTGTCTGCTCACATCCTTTGCCTATTTTTATGGGATTGTTTGTTGAGTTTTGAGAATTCTTTATACATTTAGATATTCGGTAAGCTGTCCTTTGGCAGATATGTGATTTGTGAATATTTTCTCCCAGTCTGTGGTTTGTCTTTTCACTGGCTTACTAATGTCTTTCATGTAGCAAAACTTTAAAATGTTGTTGATACCCAAATTATATATTTTGTCTTATTATTGCGCTTTTGAGTTTATGTCTAAGAAATTTTTGCCTAACCCAAGGTCATAGAGGATTTCTCCCATATTTTCTCCTAAAAGTTTTATAGTTTTATATTTTACATTTAAGTCTCTGACTAATTTTGAATTAATTTTTGTATAAGGTATAAAATATAGGTTGAGGTTCTTATTTATTTGTTTGTATATTTATTTGTTCATTTATGTAGATATAGATGTTCCAGTTGATGCAGACTTTTTGTTAAGAAGATTGTGCTTTCTCCAATATTGCTTTTGTGTCTTTGTCAGAAAATATTGAGCTGATTTGTGTGGGTTAATTTTATTCTTCAATTTTATTGACATACTTTTCTATCAATACCATACTATCACACTGTCTTAGTGTAGCTTGATAATGTCTCAAAACCCAGTAGTGTGAATCCTCCAACTTTGTTCTTCCCTTTTAAAGTTGTTTTTATTTCTCATTCCTTTCATTTGCATGGATTTTTAGAATCAGCATATCTACAAAATATTCTGCTTGGATGTTGATGGAATTTTACTTATAGACCAATTGGGGAGAATTGACATCTTAACAAGATTCACTTTTTGAACCAGGAACATAGTAAATGTCTGTATTTATTTATGCTTTTGGTGCGAGTGTGTGTGTGTGTGTGTGTGTGTGTGTGTGTGTGTGTGTGTTACTTTTAAGTACTTTAAGGAGATATATGAGGGAGAGAAAAATAAAACAAACAATAAACTCACCATTGAAATGGTCTTTCTTCACATTTCAATTGGCTCCCCAATCTGACTACTATTTTTTCCCTAGGTGGTTTTTAAAAATTCCTTCCAGGATGTTTAGTTGTAATTAGTGGGTGAGACAGCCTGTAGTGTGCGTATTCCCTCTTATTCGGAGTTGAAAGTGAATTGGTTTTAATTGTCATTATCATAGTCCTTCTTGTTTTGTGATGCCATAGATTGTGGAGCAGCCAGAAGTGGTTTATTTGTGTTGTTTTTTTCTTTTTCACTTTGAATAAACCAAATGTGAGACAAGTTTCATAATGTGGGGTTGTTAAATGTTCAAAGGATTTATCTTGGGTGGGTGGGGACCTAGGAAAAAGGGTGGAACACAGAACCACTCTTTTTAAGCCCAGTAACAGTTATTTAGGTTCAGGAGTTTCTTCCATTCTTGACATTGCCATGATGTGCCACTTAAAAATAAATAAAATGAAAGTTGATGTGACAGCAGAATCACCAGGGTCTGTCTAGGACAGGGGTGGGCAAACTTTTTGACTCGAGGGCCACAATGGGTTCTTAAACTGGACCGGAGGGCCGGAACAAAAGCATGGATGGAGTGTTTGTGTGAACTAATATAAATTTAAAGTAAACATCATTACATAAAAGGGTACGGTCTTTTTTTTTTTAGTCTTATTCATTTCAAACGGGGCCGAATCCGGCCCGCGGGCCGTAGTTTGCCCACGGCTGGTCTAGGAGCATTTCTTAGCAGGCGTTGCCTTGCTGACAAATAACAGGGGTTCGCCTATGACACAGGATCTCACAATATTACCGTTTATTTAGCCCAAAAGAGAATACAATGTCCTGTGTCCAAACACAGCTCAGCTGAACGATAAACTCCAGTAGCATCCAAACAATATTATCTCCCCTACATCTTAAGAGGGCTTATTATCAAAGCTTAAGTAGCAGTATCTTCTAATAGAGATAATAAGCACATTTTCCACTTTATCTCCAAGAATTTGATATCACTAAGTGTGTTCTCTCAAGCACAATATAAATGGCTTATTTTATTTATATCCTACATTTTAGGCTATTTGTAACATAGACACATGCAAACAACATATCTGGTTTCTTTTCTGTTTTCTAGTTTTATAATTCGTAAGTCGTCAAGATTGCTTTTTTACAAATCAAGATGCTATTCTAGAGAGCCTCAGACTGATTTTTTTACTAAAGCAGAGTGCTGCAGAACAGTCCAGAGCATGAACTACAGTGATCCACCAAAGGAAATCTTACCTGCAGTTATTTGATATACCCTGAGGATATTCATATACCTTTTGTTAGAATAGAAGTTTGATTCTACAGCTACTCATTCAGAAGTAGGGTAGGGCTGAATTCTGAATGAGATCAAAATTTGTATATTTGTGAAACCAGGGAAAATACTTAAATTTTTTTTCGCGGCAGAGGGGTTATGCTTTTCCTATGGAAATTGTTCAATATTTTTAAGCATATAATGTGTTACAAGTCATATTTAAAAATTATGTAACCAAATTAAGATATATAAATATCAACAAGTGTTGGAAAAACTCAGAGACTTCGCGGAGATTGAAGTGTATATTTTGTCCACAAAAGTATGCAGAAACATGATTCTAGGGTGTTCTTTTAAGCCCTCAACTAGGGCATTATGAACTGATTTTAAAATAGAAAGGTAATTGTCCTTTCAAATAAATATTTGGCCCTTCATTTAGTCATCCAAATAAGGGTGAGAGCGCAATTACAGTGGACCCAAAGGCTTCTAATGCATAAAACATGTCACAATATATATGTAAATGCTTTATTCATAATCTATAGCCTTTGTAGTTTACACATTCCATTTGCATTATACATTTCATTGTCATCATAATCTTCTGGTTTGTTCAGGCATGTATTAAAACCCCCATTTAGAGCTAATGGAACTGAAGTGAAAAGAAACGGTATAAATCTCCATCCTAGACACAGTGGAGAAATGCTGGCACTGAGACTCTAAGGCCGCTGCTCCCTTTGTGACAACTCGCTTCCTCAGCAGCGAAGAGCCCAGCCTGCTGATTCATAATCCTGGGATTAAAGTTCTCACGAAATAGTGTTTGAGAGGATATTGTTTATTATCTGGGAAGCCACATGAGTTTCAGTGTAAATGTCACCTCTCCTGGGAAACTCACCTTCATGAGACCAGTTAGGATTTTCATCGACGAACTTACTATTACTACTATGATAAATTAACCACTTTTTAGAAGTATTTTGTCTCACCTAAAACAATCCTGTATACCCCACTTTGGGAAAGACAAATTAATTGCGAAGTAATTATTCCGTACCACTTCTCTTCCTGGGTAATGTGTAATAAATTTTATGAGGATATGCTCTCTTCACTTCTGTATTTATAGTTCCTACCATGGTGCCTGACACACAGTAGGTCTCAGCCAGAATGTGTTTAGTACATTAATATTTGCCTATTTATGTGAATAGTGTATGGGTATAGTATATGGCTGCTGTATGGCTGTACATATTTTCCTTTCTTATGAATACAGAAATGTTTGCCTTTCTTCCAAGTCCACTTGGGTACAAAATAAGCGTATTTTCTGCTCACTTTTACAGGATTATACGTTGACAATGTATTTTCAACAAGCCTGGAGAGATAAGAGGCTGTCGTATAATGTCATACCTTTAAACTTAACTCTGGACAACCGCGTCGCAGACCAGCTCTGGGTGCCCGACACCTACTTCCTGAATGACAAGAAGTCGTTCGTGCACGGCGTGACCGTCAAGAACCGCATGATCCGCCTGCATCCCGACGGCACTGTCCTCTACGGCCTCAGGTCTGTAGTGCGCATTGCAGAATGGGGCTTTTCCTGAGCCAAGCGGTTACCGCTTTCTGTCGGAGGGGAACGTGTTGCGCTGTTTTCCTTACTCCTCCGTCAAGCCTCCCAGGAAGCAGTTAAACCTTCTACCCCGCAGACATCTGATAGCTCAGGGGAGCTTGCTTACAGAGGGACTTAGCCACAGCTAAGACTAAGCGTTTTTCTGAATTATATCAGCTGCTGATCCTAAAGCTGCTTTCTTTAAGGAGTAGGGATAAACAATGCCAAAATAGCTGAGACATAGAGTTTCCTTAAAGTGGAGAAAAACAATCGTGAATGCCTAACGCGTGTTTGAATGTGGCAGATGCGCTCTTGTCAGTTGCTCCTGAGCTGCAGGAACCGGGCCTGGTCCTCTGGTGACAGGAAGGCTTTTTGGTCCTCTCACCCTCCAACGAGGAGTCAGACTTGCAGATAAAGTCATGATCTTAGATTTATTATTAATGAACTTACACTATTAAATGTGCCTTTTGTCAGAAGAGAATGGTGAGGTTCTGCTGTTTGGATGAGGATAAATTATAAAATAAGACAGTTTCTTCTATTAAAGTTTGTTTTATGTTAAAACAAATAGTTTCTTTAAAAAGGAAGAAAAAATACAGTATAAAGAATTCCTCTGCATTATAGTGCAAGAAACTCTGAATTCGAAATGTTCAGTTGTCTTTGATCTATTCCATTTTCCATAAATATGTAGTTACTTTACCATAGTAATGATGATGATAATAGTCGTATTATTTCGTGAACACTTGTTAGAAGTCAGCTAAGTACTATCCATACATTAATATAGTCAATTTTTACAACAACCTCATAAGTTAGAAACTCTTACAATCTTTATTTTCAAATAAAGAAACTGAGGCTGATGCAACTTGCTGAGATCACGAAGAGAGTAAACTGTGAGGATGGGATTCAAACACTTCCCAGTTCAGAGCCAGAGCTCTTAGCCAATACACTGGGATAACTCTCACTGAAACATGTTTCTTACCTGGGATATCTCGTTTTCATTACCTACTCTATTCAGCATGCCAGATGAATACGTTGTCTGGATCCTTTTAAACTGGCTTCTGTATCATGTCTGTAGAGAAAATGACCTTTGACTGTGGAGAAAGGGAAAGTATGAAGCAGGGAGAGAGCATGTTTGTATCCTGTGTTAGCCTCTGAAGGTAAAGAGATGAATTGAAAATTTATAAATGTCTCATTTCAGTCTTTACCTGCACTCTAGACAAACCTGGTCAAGGTTGTCAACACATTGTAAATGCACCGATGCAACGCTGAATGGATGAGAAATAAGCAATCACCATGTCTTTGAAATTCAGAGGGAAAAGAGAGGACCAATATAGATGATAAATATGTCTTCTTTATATTGCTAAGCCAATAATCAGACAAAGAAAACTGATGATTGTTCATTCTTATCATTAAGAGGCACTGAACATAAGAGCTGTAGCTCAGACTCACAACAAGAGGGAGTCATCATTCTCCCCTCCCCACTCCCAACAAGGGCTGCTGGCAAAGTAGGCAGACTCCTAAAGACACCTGGCATGTGTAGAATTAGGACTTCTGCACAGAGAAGGCTCTGAATTGTGATGGTCTTATCGGTTGTATTATTAATTCTGAATTTGAAATTGATAAGGTTTTTCAGGGAATTTTTAAAAGTCCCATTCCAGTTTCTACTGATAGACAGAACAATTTGTTTCCTGGCTAGAAATTGAATGCAGATCACACATTCTTTTCTCAGCTCTAGAAGGTTCATTTGTGAGAAATAAATAAAAGAAATTCAATTGAAATTACCACTGCCATGGTTGATTCAGTTCTATGTGGCCTCTCTTCCTATTTACCTACCTCCCCTCCGGTTAGTCTCTATTATTGATAGCCTAGTAAGAAATGTATCTTATATTTGTGGCATGAACTCTGTCATTTCCATTTCAAAAACATTGTATGATTTCCCTTTTACCAAGCCTTTCCTTTTATTCTCATCATGTGTTATCACTCTTCCATTTTCTCAACTGATTTGAAGATCTACAGGATACAGAAATAATTTTTACAAGTTATGAATAATGCTTTTTTGAAACTTAAATTTATAACTCGTGGCTAAATAATCATGAAACTCTTGAATATAGATTCTCCCTTCACTCTTGGCTGGTTGATAGTTCAGTTGTACCAATTTGATCTTAAAATCAAATACCTCCTGTCTTTTATGGTCCTATTTAGAAATTTCTTTCAAGAGATATGGCTGAAATGGGAAGAATATTTTCTTGGGAATAACCTAGCTGTAGTTGGTGACAAAGGACTTTTCAGTTCACTAGACTGAAGAATTCCTAGCCATTTATAAAGCAAGTATTTCAAACAGGTCAACTGTCTTTTATTTTAAAATAAAATTGGTCCAGTCAAATTATTTTCAGAACACTTTGAGGAAAAATGACATAAAAATATAGGTGGTTGTTGTTATCGTTTGTTTCTTTTGTGGTTTTTGTTTTGTTTTTGTTAATGAACCCAGCAAAAGTACTAGCAGGTAAAAAATCAGGTTTAATCTGTTATTTACATGACATCATGAATAATGTTACATAGATATAAATCAGATCATTATTGACTTTGAAAAAGGAAGATATTTGTTAGTTTTCAGAAAGGTAATGAATAATTGCATTGGACAGAGAATCAGGAGACCTACATCCTATTCTAGTCTTAAAATTAGTGGTTCTTACGTAAATCAGTTCTAAATTTTATTCTAGCTCCCAAAATCCCATATTCGTGCAATTTTGCTAATGTGTGGCGTAAATATTTTTAGGACTTCTACTTCATTATGCATATGGCTTGCAAAGCTTTACATAATATTTTAGTGCTTCAGAATTTGCATTTATCTCCTTGAAAAAATCTTATTAGTTAGGAAAGCAAAAACAAAAATCATAGCATTCAGGTAAGCAAGAAAGCCTGAATTGTCAACTTTGACATCTCTTATGAGCATAACAATGTATATTTTTATTAAAACTTAGACTCTGAATCCAAATGGACTGTATATTATTTATGGAAAGTGACTAACATTATATCATAAGCATGTTATCACATTAAAAAATCTTCAACAAACACAATTAAAACAAAAATCCTTTTCTATGATGAGATGATGCATATTTAATATTGAAAATTTAGAAAATTCAGATAAGTTATGAATAAAATTACCCTTCATTTTACCACTCAGAATTAATCATTAGCCTGTACCTTGCTATATACTCTTCCAGATATTTTTCCTAGTACATAAAGCATATAGGTAGCTTTTCATAAAAAGAATTCACATTATTTTTCTTTAATTTTTTTCTTTAATAATGAATCCTATATAATAAAAGAATAATATGCAAATCGACCAAACGGCAGAACAACCGGTCGTTATGACGTGCACTGACCACCAGGAGGCAGACGCTCAATGCAAGAGCTGCCCCCTGGTGGTCAGTGTGCTCCCACAGGGGGAGTGCCGCTCAGCCAGAAGCCCAGAAGCCGGTTTCACTGCTGGCAAACGCAGCGGCGGCAGGAGCCTCTCCCGCCTCCACCACAGCGCTAAGGATGTCCGACTGCCAGCTAAGCCATCAGTCGGACATCCCCCAAGGGCTCCTGGACTACGAGAGTATGCAGGCCAGGCTGAGGGACACCCGCCCCCAAGTGCACGAATCTCATGCACTGGGCCTCTAGTGTATTATAAATATGCTTGCCATGTGAATACATCCCTTCTCACTATCAGTCTTTAACTGTTATAACACATATTTGGGATATAATTTTTTATTTAATATAGGATATGGCTTATGGTTTTGAGATAAGGCATGATATGTGGTTGTTGCAATAAAATGCAGGACTACTATTTAAAAGTTACTTAATATTTTAGCAACAAAGCTATTCGTGGCACAATTTAGAATCTTACAGTTGTGCTGTTGTAATTTGTAGTCTCATTGGTTCAATAAATGGCCCAGGAGATGTACTGATGTGGATTTTGCTAGGACATTTCTTGTGGACAAAATGACTTCCTTACTCTTTCAGTAGTCGCTGACCTATCTAAAAATAGCTCTTTGTCATTTGGTGTGAGGGGGGAGCCCTTGACTTCCTATGTCTGTATACCTCCCATATGTAACATTAGATCAGAAACATGTCACTTCTGATTAAAGGTTCACATTCTTGAAGAAAGATTCAGCAGGAAGCAGAAGGCAATTCAGCCACCTCCTGCTATGCATGTTCTGTCATTGGGAAAATGGCAAAGGATAACGTTAGCCTGTAATGAATTTAGACAAGCAGGATTATTAATTTTATCTTCCTCTGCTACTCCTGAAGCTTTACCACAGGATGTTAGGCAAGTGAATACCTGAGCAGCCATTCCCCATGGAAATGTAGCCTATCAAACATGAACATATCACTTTTTGACTCAGATTTCCTTTTTGGTTTAATTTATTTTCACAGAGATTTTCAGTGAATGTATTTTTTCAAGCAGAAAACAGGTATTTTTTTTAGACATGCGACCCTGTTCTCCAGATTTTCTCCGTTCTTCTAAGCAGGAAAAATCACCTTTACGTATCTCCACCTCTGGGGGAGAAGATGCATATAATATAGTTTTATAAAATACATCCTCTTTAAAGAGCTGTCAGCAATTTTTCAAAGAACATTTTTTTGCCCATCATTTTCCCGATAAGATAAAATGACTTAGATTTTTAAAAATGCATTTAGAAGTAACTTTTGACATCTTCAAGTTCATCTCTTTAAAAAAATGATTTTAGAGAGGAAGAGAGAGAAAAACATTGATATCAGAGAGAAACATCAATCGGTTGCCTCCTACACACACCCAACTAAGAACAGAGCTCACAACCTGTGTACTATGTGCCCTGACCAGGAATCTAAGTTCATAGGACAATGCTCCAGCCAACTGAGCCACACCGGCCAGGGCTCATCTCCTCCTTTTTATAGAAGAGAATGCGGGGGGAGGGGTGTCAGAGAGGGGA